AGGGTCAACCGTCCGTTGGACAAAGTCCAACGCATGGCTCTCTAGCGTGTGAGAGTAATGCCGAGAGTGAACGTACGCACGGAGACACAGACGGCTCGCGCAAGGCGAGTGCGAATGCCGGCGCGGAGAGCGGTCAACGTCGGTCCAACGTCGGTCCAATGTCGGTCCAACGTAACGGTGACCTGCTTGCCTGATCTCTCCATCAATTAATAATGTGGCTCATAGAGCCAACTTGTTCTCACCGATGCTGTTCGTACTGTCTCTTCACCGCCTCCGTGCTAATTACCAACAGCGAGTAAGAGTGCTTATTTCCCAATGATAGATTGAAATTAATCCACATTCGCGATGCCACCTTGGAATACAGCGTTGCACAGCCGAATCGAGCTGTGTACAGCGAAATTGACTATGTGCAGCGGATCGAACCTTGTCAACGACTCGACACCACGGTGAAAATCCTGTCGAGGACATGTTCGCATTTTAACGACCCCCCTCTCCCACTTAACGGATGTTCCGATACAACCCCCTCTGCGCATCTACTGCGAAGCTAAATACATTAGCTATTAGATGCTGAAATACGAGTTACCCTATGTTACCGTACAGATCACTACTAGCCGAGGTAAATGAGCACTTTCTACTGAAACTCTCATTTCAGACCTTTTTAAGATATATATTTGGTTTACAGAAAATAAAAAAGTTGTAAAATTAGTGATAACACGGTAGATGAATGGCGGTAGCACTGTTGCACCCTATCCTTGCCTCTTGCGACCTCTACATCTTTGGGAGAATACGACCCGCTGTCGAGATCCTCGACCGTTGTTGACCCTGCTCGACACTGCTTGAGGCCGCGGGCACTTCTATTTGAACGTTCTGGCCACCATTCAAGGCTCATGCATGAGAGAGTGGTCAAGGGTATACTCTCGGAGCAAAGTGGCGAAAATCAACATGCAAACGTCCGCCACGTTTGAACTATGTGGAGTTGCTGCTACATCGTTAAATCCGCAGGCGCATAGTCTGATTCGCTCATAACGCAGCTCAATTCGCTGATGCGACGATAGTGTACCGCGATTCGCTAGCTAATCGCTAGATGCGCAAACTCTGACTTGACCCGGAGGTATGGCGGAGGTTAGCGATACCCCTGGCATTCCACACAATTCTCCCTGTATATGACGGCCCTCAAAATATTATAGACGCCAAAACTGATCAAAATCGGAAAATTTATGCCCGAATTGACACAGGATACAATGCCGTGAGACCTCCGAATAGAAGATCGCCATTCACTGTTTGCGAAAGCGAGAGACGTGGTTGGAACATCCGGGAAGGACAGCGATTACGTGGAACTGGGGTTCAGGACTTGTTCGATTGGATTTTAATCTTCTAAATGCTCGTAGACTAAGTCCACATATGAAGAACAGCATAGTATCGATGACTCCACGCAAACAAGCAAAAGTTCTGCATGGTCGCTGAATAGTTGACAAGATTCACGTGAAACTAAAGGCAATTACTCAAACAGCAGGGCAGGTGAAACTAAAGGCCACCGATCTCGCTTGGGAGGTCCACAATCACATTCTCTCTCGAATCCCTTCTTCAGCCACAAGTTTCATTTCTAACTTTGGGCAGCTTACTTCAATAAACTCTATGGACCTCTACGGTCGTCAGTTAGAAGCGCAATAGGTTTCTGTTGATGGAGAAATCACGAAAAGGGGGCTTTGGGCGCTTGAGGGGGTAGGGCTGCACAGATAGCGGAACAGGTAATCAACTAGGAATCATAGTCTTCCAATAGACGGGGCGGATGATATTTGGCTCGAACGCTACAAATATAACAATTTGTTTGAGTTTACTGTAGCTTTCAAAAATACCGAGCATTTAGACTGTTAACGATGTAAATGCATATATTATTTTTTACGGAGAGAACTGTTTACGTCAACAGCCTTCTGTTTCTACAGACTATAATTTTTATAGACTTCACTTTATGTGAACTTTTAGAAAGACTATAATTTTTTAACTACATTTTTTCCCAGTAATCTATTGGACCTGGAAACAAACGTTTGCTAGAAATTGATTATTGTATTGAATTCTGCCATGTGTGGTTGACCCATAATTTCTAGCCGAATTTCGACACTTCGTTTTCTTCAAGATTTTCCTTTCCTGAAAATCAGTTTATCATAAAACTACAATCATAATCACTTATATGTATCCATTTGCTAAGGGAACGATGGATGCATTCCTCCAGAAGAGTGAAGCTGTAGGATGAAGAGTTCGGAGAGGTCGATTTTGGGATGGCTGTATTCACCGAGCTTTTTCTCTCGTAGCTGCAGCTTCAGTGCGCTGGGGAGAAGACAGTGCGATGGAGCAATGTCAGTGCTATACGTCAGATGTGGTATCGTGGTCCAGCCAGTTCCCCTCAAAACATGGCGAGCTATCTTGGCAATTGTGAGCCGGCTTTCATTTGAGGAAGGAGATTTTGAGACATTTCAACCGTTCTCCCGCACTGCGACGGCCATGGGGGAGTTATCCCATGGCTACCTCTGGGCTATGACTGTTTGATAACTGAAGCGCGATTCTCAAAACGGGATGCCCAGCGAATCCAACAAGCAGGGGTAATATCATCTGATGAAAGAGCTCGGGCTCTGATTGAGAGGTGGATCCAGGCTGCGAGGTAGCCACCAGGCGTGCCTCGCTTTGTTATCGTGGTGGATTCCTTGACTCATCTGTACTGGTGATCAACTAGGGAATATCCTGCCTATACGGTCGCATGATGGAATTTCTGCACGTCGTCACGTCCGCTTCTCGGTCTTGGTCGATTAATGCATGCTGTTTCTATCGAGACTACTTTCTGCTACACCCGCTCCATTCAAGTGGCCATTCATGGTACGTTTGCTGCGTCCAGGTGTTTGTTACACTTTTGGGGGGGCGTTTGTTTTCCTGTTAATAGCGTCCGGATGTCATTTCCCATTTGTTGCGCGATAAGAGTCTCATCGAAGTGCGCGAGGCGCTATGATGAGTCAAAGTTTGCAGCTAAAAACATCGCTTGACTCAGCGCTCTGGGCCCCGTAGAGCCAATAACCAGTACCGATCAGTACCAGATGGGGCGAACATGTCTCCTGATCTTCTATCTCTCTATGCTGCTTCTTTTTAATGGTCATAAGCACACTTTAAGTTTTGTAGTTGACCTATTTAATTCCTAGTCTTATTGCGTGCTTTCCCTTGTTTATATATTCTTGTTATTGATTTATTTCAATTCCTAGCTACTTATTTATCCCTTGCGCATTTGAGCTTCTGAAACATCCTGGCTGAAGGTCCTGATGTGTTCTTCAACATATCAACTTATTTCATTATGAAGCTAATTTTACAAAGAAATTTGAATTGGAACAAAAATCGGCCAGAAATTATGGGTCAACCCAATATACTATTCAAAGTTGGCCGAAGAGAATGTGCGCTAATACCACCCTCGCTACTGCCTGTGAGGGACGTCTTTCACCACATCTAGTTAGACCCTTCTAGCAAATTGACTTAGCGGAGCGACTCTTTCTAGCAATCATTGGAACTAGGGGAGCAGTGCCTGGTAGTAACCACTTTGTGAACGTGAACTCGGCTCCGCTCAAGCCTTCCATCTTTCCTGATTGAATTTGTAAAACCCTGGATTGGGGGTGAGCAGTAGGAGGAGGGTTGCTAGCAAAATGTGGCGCTTAGAAAATCCCAGCCCATCTTCAGGCCAGATATGCAATCTAAAGTCACTACGGTATTGAAAGGAGAGTTAGAATGTGCGTCGTATTATTACAAGAGGATAGAGTTAGAATAAGCGTCATATTCTTATAAGTGGATAATCAGCATAGAAAGGTTAACCTCCCCCCTAGCAATCACGCCCATTTTGACTGTCAGTAGCGTGGAATCGATCGAGTCCCAATCATGTAATAAGTATCGCTCTTCACTTTATCATATTCCACATTTTCAAGGCCAAGAAACAGCACTATCGCCTGATGCTGATTCAGAGGCGGAGCTATGACAAGGGGGCGGAGCTTTACTGAATTTAAACCGTGATGGGAGGAACATCTCGTCTTTCGTCAAGTCTTCAAATTTCCATTTGAGCAATGCAAATGATTCGAGCCAGCGAACAGCATGGTTGCACTGCCCTAGACCCGAAGAAGAAAATGGTCTGTGATATTTTCGGTGTGAAATTTCTTGGATACGGCATAGTTGAGCTAATCTCAACACAGCCAAGCCTCTTCGACTCAGCTCTATTTGTGAATTATAACTACGCACTAAGAGATAGATGTGTTATTTTGTTCGAGTACGTGGATAGCGCTAAATGGCTCATTTTCGAAAGGGTGATGTGAATGCGATTTTTCGATGGTTCTTGGGAAGTGTGCTTTTGAGATTATTAAGCGAAAGGAAGTGTGGGTAAGGTAAGGGGTAAAGAAGAAGAGAGGAAATGCAGGAAGGAAAATATGTAACAGATTTCAAAGGTACTCGAAGACTTCAGCCCATGAGTTTTCCGGGAAATGCGAAAGAGCAGGTGGCCAGAGGAAAAGTCAAGCTGAGTAAGCAAGACAGAAAGGAAAGTAAGCAGCGTTTCCATGGTGGTAGCGAGTTGTTAGGAGGGATAGTGGAATGGGGGAAGGCTGTATAATGTCCGTTAGACCATATGAGTTTTTTTGCAGCTCGTACAGGCTATTCTGTGGAAGTCCAAAGGTACTGCTCTGGTTGGACTCATTACATAAACTATTTATAGAAAATTCCGCATCCTCGTCTTCGGATTTCAGAAATTTAAGCCTCTGGAGGCTTTCCCATCAGGAATTCGAAATTTTCAAAAAAAAAGCTTCAAATGCAAATTGAATCCACCACTAAACAGTGATGAGAGGCGCCATTAAGAAATCAATAATCGAATTGTTCTGCATTTTGATGATGCCGTCGCTGCGAAACGGCCAGAATCCTTTCCCGTACGCCGTTCTTCATTTTATCAACGTCCATCCGTTGTAATACCTTTTCCGCCTCCATCTAGGATGCCCAAAAAGAAGGTGGGTGAATATTCGGTGGAAATTCCCGGTCAATTCTCACATATTTCTGATTTTGCCACATATCGGGAATTAGAAAAATGAATATTTCTTGGCGCTAACGCAAGACACGGAGGCATCACCCAGGGCTAAGCCTAGGAAGAGCAGGAACTTCGAGAAATACGGGATCTGCTCACTCCTGCTAAAGGCTTTTCCGCTCCGCCAAAGGCGTTGCGCCGTTTTTAACAAAAGGGAGACATGTTTTATGTGATTCTAAATGTACTGCTACCACAATGCCCCATATCTTGCGATAGCGCCTAATTTTTATTAAGACTCCACTGCGCTCGCTGGAGAGCGTCGACCGACCACCGCCTTTGCTACGGCGAAATGCCAATTTGAATAATATGCATCGTTTTCAATACAGTTTTGAAATCAAGGGGAAGAAAGGATAGAATTATAGGACAATTTTCCTTTGCTCTGCTTATTTCAGTGACTCTACTGATCTATTTGGACTTGTTTTTAATTGCCTGATTGACTGTTCGGAAAGCTAGAGGTGCGCGTTCGATTCCCGTCTGGGGCGAAGTTTTGCCCATAATCCAGCATCCTTGTGATTACCTGATAATTTACTTTTGTTACAATTTATAAAATCACTGTTTCCGTATATGTGTTATTTTGAAAACAATATCTATACTAATAAGCCTTTTTTGGTGATTATATGGAACATTTCCTCTAATGCACCCAAGGTCCACAGCCGCCAGTGAGTGGCTGTATGACATCGACTGAATTTCACCGCCGTCACCCCTCACATCATTTCCGAAAATATGGAAGCATTTTAAGCATGTTAGGTGCGCTATCACAAGTATGCGGGGGCATAGTGGTGGCAGCGCACTTCACCAACCGCGGTATTGACACATCTTTTTTCTTAAAAAGGGACTACAGAAAGGTCCTTCCAAAGGGGCCAAGCTTTCAAAACGGTCTTTTGCATGATGTAGGGGCACCCTTGAAAGACCTTCCTAGTAAGCTCTAGGGGGAGGAGAAAGTGCGTAAGTAGTTTTCTTTCTCCCCGAAGTTCCTCTCCCCTTCTAGGCTCAGCTCCATGGGGTATCTTGCGATTGCGTCCGTGTTTAGCCTGTATAAGGAGACTGCAATAGCTGGCATCAGATTAGAACCCTAAGGTAGGCTTCACGGGTGCAACACTTCACCGGAGTGTCTAACTTTGTGTATGAGGTTCAGCTTCTCTACGATGTAATGTAGGGAAGCCCACTAAGCCGTATCTCCCACCTTCAGCAGCCACGGCGGCTTGAAGGCAGTTGGTATGATAAACTGAGTGTGGAAGAAGAGGACATCCTATTATGAAGGGAGTCTAAATCTCCGAGGAACCGAAACTGGCACTATGTATTGCGGTAATGAGCACGCTTGTAGCGGCCTTGCAAGGCCTCGCTCGTAGTAAGCCGCGCCTTCGGGGGGCCAACTCAACAGATGATTGGTTGACGGTAAACGCTTACTATAGTGGCGAAGCAGCTTGAAAAGGCAGAGCAAGGTGTCCATTTTAATGACGTTGTTCGTAGTAGAATCTAAGCGAGCCCTTGAACCAAGAGGCAGAAACTGCTACTAAGACCGGCGTCTTCTGGTATCGCTACTGCACATTATACGAAGTTATACGATACTTCTAACAGCGTCCAATTTATCGTGTCATCTGTCTTTAATATTAATTTAGCGTTGTTTTATTTGTCATCTCCATTTCCTTTGTGAACTTAATAGCTTTAAGCTTGGAAAGTTATGCAGACCGCTTTGGGCACCACTGATGCAGCTTCACAAAGCTCTTTGTCTAAAAAACCAAATTATCAAAAAGCCATGTCTGATTGTTGACGAGCGCGGCATCGCCCTCCGCTCTTCTGGCGGATTGTCCAAATTTGCACATTTTTTCCGTCTACGGGGGTGTTTTTCCAAGGAAAGCTCTCTTCCTCTATAAGGTGGACCCTCTAAAATTAGACTTTATGTAATAGAGGAAAACACAAATAGGCCAAGTCTTCAGCGTAGCCCCGATTCAGGAACCCCATGCGCAGGCTATGAGCTGTGTTTATTGGGAGCGACTCTTTTGAATGCATATCGTAATTCTCAGATGAGGTGGCAATATTTGTCGAGCGCCGGAAACCTGGCTGCGGTAGAGAAATTTCAGGGTGAGTGTGCGGAAATTCTTCTCCGTTACGTGAATACACGCCGCACAAAAGTGCCGTAGCGAGCGATAAGCCGCAGGTCGCGCCGAATGACTTAGACTGGAGAAGAAGAGGAGCCGCTTCGCCCGGCAGTCGGACTTGTCGCGCCATGGCTCACTCGCCACCTTGGAAAGAAACGCCTAAATGGCTGTTTAATTACCATAATGTATCGTTAATCCATGGATGCCTATAATGCTCTGCAATGGCACACTGAATGTTTATTTTGGAAATCAGCCAAAGCCAAGTCGATGAACCCCATTTATGTAGACAAACCACTCAATTTTTCTGTTATCGCCTGAGCCCTCCCTCCTCTCAGTACTGACTATCCATCGCCACAATGCGCGCGCTGCATCAGTTCTGTTCCTCTAACGCAGCGTGGAAGATTGACCCGTACAGTGACGAACTAAAATCGAAACGTAATGACTAGTGAGGTAAAACACATGCATCCGACTAATGAACTGTAGTCAATCCTCAGTCAGCTGTCATGCTCCAGAAACGATGACGTCGTAAATGATTTCTTTTATGATATTTTAGACCCATAAAAACCGTGCATTATTTTAGGGTAACAAGGTGGGAATGGCGGGAAGACGGCAGTCGATGACCGCTCAAATAACACGACAAGCAAGGTGAGTTCAGCATTCGTGGTAGAATTTTTAGAAGACGTTTCTGCAACATAGCAATACCAGTTTGACTCCGACCTTTAACGCGTGCGCGCTATTGCGTTCCAGCGATATTACAGGACTAACTCAGACTTTTCACCCAAATCCCCGCATAAGAGAGGATTCAAACGCACTCGTCGCTGGTATTCATTCGCTTTCCCCTTGGCCTTCAGGCACTTTTTTGACCATTTTTGGACTTTGGACTTATCTACACTCACCTTGATGCACGCCTTACCCATCAATAGCACTTGCACTCTCTTTGCTAGCCTACGTCCACTTTCTCCCTGATCTCTGGACTGCCTCGTGAGCGAGCTATAATGTTTCATGACAACCCCGCCCACTTTAGTGCACGCCCCACCTACCATTAAAATGAAGCCCTCCCGTTCTCTGACTTCTGATCACCTTTTTCCCGGTCTCTGTGACTCCTCTCCAGCGGAAGCGTGAAAATATGAATAAACACTACCCACTAAAAGACACCTTTCACCCCTGTGGGCTTCCGTTCACTTCAAGTATGCTGGGGACAAATAAGATATTGATCCCCTACACCGATTTTTTCTGCTCTATAGGCTTTCCCTACTGGAGTTATAAATTTTTTCAATAAACACCCATCATTTAGAGAACGCTCCGCCCACCGCGGACAGTTCTTTGTAATCAGGCATAGCAGCTCAGTGCATACCTTCATCAATTTTTTCCGGTCTACAGGCTGTTCTATAGCCGAACTCGAAACTTTTGCCGTCGGCACCCTCGGAGCGTGCCCTGCGAAGTGGGGGCGGAGCCCCGCCAAGCTGATTCGCGTTTCCACCTTTTTAGCCCACGCCCCACCCATCCAAAACCACCCGGGCTCTGCAGGATTCTTGAGGTAGTACCGAATTTCGTGATAGACATACATACAGGCACGCGCACACACAGACTTTGCGCTTTACCCATAGCAGGCATACGAGAAATCACGGCGCGACGCTGTTCGCGTACTCAACTAGCCGAGAAGCAACTTGTGCATGGTAGCCATGCAAAACATACCCATGTACAAGAAAGCACCATGAAGCGAATACATAATGGTGAGATAGTGCACAAAAGGCGAGAATGCTGATTTAAGATTGGAAGGGGTGCGCTACTGTAACACTGGCACTTTTTCACTGAAAGAGCGGGGCATACGACAGGGATGACAACTTGTGACGTACATATCCTTTTCTACGCCTCGTCGAGAAATCCACAAGACAAGGGGCGGTGCTTGTCTAACTTACCAGACCTGAGAGTTACTCCCGCGAGGCCGGGCTTTTTCAGTACGTCCTCACCCACCTACAAATCGCGGCCTCCCTCGGTCAGCCGAACTTTGCCCAAGGCTTTTTGCGTTTTGATTGCGCATAAAACATTGCTAAGAGGAAATCCCTGACGTCATGAAAGGTCAGAGAAAATAGTAATCACTTCATTGTAATAAAATCAAGCTTTTACATTACAGGCGGCTTTCAACTGTAATCGCGCCACAATTCACAAAAATTGAACCCGTCAACATATTACAAAAAGTGGAAGGTGTCGAGATACGGATCAGCGACATGACACAGGTACTTAACTTTTTTTTCTCTAAAAGCCCTTTTGTATCGTTCCTAAGGATCTGAATAGAGAGTCGAGTTTATGCAAACATGTCATAGGAATAACGTCAGTTCTTCGCGGATACTGAAGGCCAATCGGGTTTTGGGTTATTTTTTGTCGATAAACTATCCCCTTGACAGAGGCTTCAATCTGCTAAAGGCTCACTTTGCAACTTTTCCGCTGAAATTTCTGTCACTTCATTCGATTTTTACCATAAAACCGGAAAGCTAATTGAACAATGGCCGATCTGAACAATGACTTTTTGTCTTTCAAATACGCCTGCTGCCAATAGGAGGAATATTTTCCGTGACATCAGCCCGGGCTCAGAACAGTAAGCAAAAGCGAAATGGAACACCATGGTGGAGGAAGAAGTATTCAAAGTCGGTGTCAGAGGTTACGATCAAGCATACCTTCGTTGCGGAGATGCGCCACCCATCTAATTTTCAATAAGAATCGTAACGGCATTTGAAAGCGCTTCGGCAAGGTCAACGCAAGTAAACCAACCGCACACTCACTGTTTTTAGAGAGTTTGGTACATGAGTAACTGGCCGCAGGGAAATTGAAGGGATTATTTGACCAGAGCGATCCTGGTTGAACCTGACAGCCGGACGGTTCGAGGGGGGCTCCGCCAGCTGGTGGCTCAGCATCTTTGTCTTTTATAAAATAGCAAACTTGGATAGGAACAGTGTAGGTATATATAATAGACCGCGTGCTATCGTTCACCGAGCTAGAAGCGTACTCTCCCTGAAGCCAGTCTTCCCTTATCACCTCAGGCTTACGCCATACGACTCATCATACCTTTTGGTCGGGTAAGGATCGCATCTCTTTAGGAAATAGAGTGCTCCAATAGCTGAGAGACGCTACTGTACCCATGGCCTAATGGAGGGCTCAGCACACAGAGTGACTCGGAAGGGAACATCGCTTTCCATGATGGAAATAGTAAAAACAGAAAGTATTTGGCGTGAACACTCTTTTGGGCCCGCATTCTATCTCCATCCAGATCGTAAGCGCATTTTTGCATGCAATTCAGCCTACAAGGCTTGCGGGAGCTATTCGTTTCAGTATTTTAGTTTTCCCACACGAATCTGTTACAAATCAACCGTCGAGGAGAGATGGTAGACCCGCAGCTGGAAAACAGTTCATCAATTGGTACCAGAATCACAGTGGAAATAGACACGTTGGTGGAGAGGTAATTCAGGGGCTGCAGGGGTATTCTTCAGGGCTAAACCTCTGAACGGGGCAGAAAATGCTGGAAACGCAGATCGTTCGCAACGTAAACTACCTTCCACGGACCATGGACCAGTGGGCGGGACCGGAAGTTTTTGTGACGAAATGCATGGTAGGTACGGATCCACGTGTCGAACGCACGAACGTGAACAGGATTCACTTCAAACCTTCCCATGAACGTGGATCCGTACCTACCATGCATTTCGTCGCAAAACCACTTCCGGTCCCGCCCACTGGTCCATGGTCCGTGGAAGATTCCTTTAATCATTATTTTTTAACAAAAAAGAGAAGTTTTCAGCGCGGTTTTGAATGCTTTGCCACCACAATGCCCCGTATACTGCGACAGCGCCTGATACTAACGCCATGGCTGATCCTGCGTTGAAAAGCGCGCGTGGCCACAAAGCGCGTGGCCACAAAAGGGTCCTGGTTAGCCGCTTCACATGGGAGCAACATCTCCCACTAGCGCTTATGTAGAGAGGGCTCGGGTAAGATCAAATTCCTTCGATACGGAACTTGGAGTCAAAAAGAAAGATGAAAATTGAAAACAAAAATAGTCGAGATTTCAAACAAGGCTTTGGTTTTTAAAACTCTACTTTTATGAAGGGAGAATGAAATGCGAAATGCGTATTTTTGCACGATGCAACTGAACCCTAGCATGGAAAATTGGCAAAGAGATCGCTCTTGACTTGGACTCTATCCAACCGGAAAGAAGAGACGAATAAGTAGCAAGACAAAGAGTCCCGAGGGTCTTTTCTGCATCTGCAAAACGAGCTTATGAACTCATAGCTGATAACAAGACCACCCTCCCAGCAGTTAAATATTAGAGCAGCTATGAGGCGAGCAAAGGCTAATTGTTCAATATCAGGGATCAACTTTTTCTTCCCAGAAAGTGGCATAGAGTAAAATGTCCAAAAGATTAGATGACTACTACGAGAGCTCGTGAGAGCCGCGCCAATGCACTCTATTTCCTATGTTTTTCAGAATAGGCTTCGGCGGTAGCATCATTCATTTTCCCTGCATTTTACAAGAAATCAGGCAAGCAATTAGCCAAGACTGCGAGAGCTAAGATTTTTCAAAATCAAAGCCAGTGACATTTTACGCGAGTAAGCTTGCCTAGCTGGCCTATGCGCGGAATCTACTGGATAGATACGAAGTTATTGCTTCAATAACCCCCACCCCCAACCCATATCTGCTCAAATTATCTCCATTGGGATTATACCAATGATGTGGAACAATCTTAAACATTATCTCTAAAAAAAACACAAGATTCAAAGATATAAAACCTTTTGAAAAATCTCATGACAATTAGAATTATAATCGGAAATTCATAACCCCTGGATTCTGCAATGTCGCTAACCCCTCGAGAAACCCTCTTATCCCACTTCCCCTTGAGATTCCCAGGAAATCGTAAGAAATCTTTCAAAGCCGATTTGTTGGGAAAGGCTGAAATGTAAAAACCAACAAAGAAACGAATGAATATGAATAATGAGCGACAGCCCATCCGATAAATTGTTCGAGGACACTTTTAGTGCAACTCCAAAGTGTAATAAACCAATTGGCATAAAATATTAGTTCTCTGGCTTTAAATTATTTTAAACTCATGCACCAAGCACTGGATGACACGGAGTTTCGTTGAAAAGAGAATCAATACGCGTGCACAGAGATTTGATATGCGCCATGGCCTCGCACTCTCTGCGTCAGAAACGACCAAACTGGTTCGAATGAGGTTACACACTTAAGCATGAACGTCCAGATGGGTCGTTCAGCAATTTGTGTCGGATAGTCGTGACAGCGGCCGTAGGCATGCACCTTCAAGCGGTCGCTGGGAAATGGAACCAGTACCCATGATCGCGAGACGAGACCTCTCCTTGGCCGTTTCAATATACTGTATTTTAACCTCTCAATTTCAGTACCAACGAGCAGTGACCCAGTATGTGACGAGAAACTCTGTACAATTCGATCCTATCGACTTCGACATCACCGATCTCAGTGGTTGTCGCATCATGCAAGGTATTCAATAGTGTCTTTTGCAAGATCAATATATAGGCCAGCCCCAAAGCCTCCAGCCACTAAAGCGGTCTATTTTCCAGCCAGCCTCTATCCGGAAGGCATGATGTTGAATGAAGGAAAACGAAAAGTATGCGATGTGACGCTAGTGAATGACGACGATTCACCTAGCTTTATCGCAAAAATTTCACATCCAGTAACGGGTAATTCTTTGAAAATTTCACTTAAAACAGAATTATATCCGCATGACTTCACTACCACTTCTACTTCGACTTGTTAATATTTTTCTTAAAATTTGGTTTTTAATTTATAGAGTAAATGTTCGAAGAATAGATGTACGAATATTTAGCCACCCCGCTATTCGACCACTCGTAATAACTTGCACTTTTCATGGCCAGTATCGCAAAATAAAGGCATAGAGCCAGGGCGGGGTCGATTCCCCAATGCTAACTCACCAACAAAGGCACAAGTGGTGTAGTGGCAAGTGGCACGTTTACCACGCGCGCTGTCCGAGGATCGAATCCCGGCTCGTGCTTCTCCGGACCAAGCCTTCCATCTCTCCGGGGTCGGTCAATTGGTACCAGACTTGTCTGGGAGGATAAAAACACTGACTTGAACATCGGCTGGCCCCCGCAAGTCATTGTATAGGCCACATCGCATTCAAATGCCACTGCGAATGTACAAATGGAAGTAGAATGCGTGCCGCATCCGGACGGGTTTGATCAACAGCAAAAGCTTCGTATTTTATTTCTGAGCTCACTAACGAGGAGTCATAATTGGTTTATTCTTGACGGGGTCGTATTCTGGATCTTGCGTGTAGGGGATGACAACATGAAGGGCAGTTTCTGAGTTTCCAGAGATCTTCTAGATGGATGCTGAGGATCGTGTCGCCATAGAAGGTAAAGGGATCGTTTCTGACGGGTTTTTGAACGATTTGAAGGCAAGAGATGGCTTCGAGTCAAAAACTTATAGAAGCAACCAGGGTGGTGAAGGTTGCGGTGGGTGGTGGTAGGGTCGTGTTAGGGGACTCTCCAAGGCTGATGGTGGTGATGGGGTCATATCGGAGCTTCTTAGTAGGGGTCGCAGAACTTTTCAAAAATATTTTCAAAGTCGCGATTGATCCTGCGGCGCCGCGACCGCGATCTTAGATACGTGGATTGCAACCCTCTTGAAGAGTAATACTTTCTTCTTTGGATTTTGTAAGCATGTATTGACTACTTTAAAGGTGAGAAATAATCGATCGATACGAATTCAGCAAGCTGATCCAGAGACGATATGCATGGATTGGTTCCACTGATCGAACTTGTGATTACTTTCCAAAAAGCGCAGTAGATGAAAGAAAAATCGATAATAAACGGAACCTTTTTTATGAATAATTAGGCCAGATTCAAAGCACAAACCATGGAGTTAATTGCAAGAAATATTGTGGGCAGAGGCCAGGGACGTTATCTGATCTGGAGCTTGTGGGGGGATATCGATCCTTTTCCCAATCTTCTTCTAACGAATCCACATTAAAAAAGTAAAATATATACACCGTGAACAAAAAGGCGAATCGAAAAATAGAAAGGAGAACCTGAGATGACAATTTTTTGCATTTATTCCATAGATGACCCAACAAATAATTTGTGACTTTTAATATATATTTATTTGTTCGATTATTCATTTATCTGATATAATAAATTCTTAATTATAGTCTAATTTATTTAAGAGAGAGATAACGTTTCAGTTCAGGTATGACGGTGTATGAGATGCGTGAAATTGGTGACATTGTCACGATACAAGCAAATACGGATGAAATGAATGGGTGAGCACGATTCATTGATTTCTCCCATACTTTCGAATCTTCAATCATATTTTTCACCTACAGTAGTTCTATAGGAGAATTGGGAAACCAGATTTCGAAAACCGGAAAACGATTATCGGAACCCAGCAATTTTACCTAAGTGAAAACGGCCGCAAAATGGGGAACCTTAGGAAGTGGATACCTGAGAAATTGGCAAGGTAAATGCTCAAAAGGAAGTATCGATTGAGTAGGGAGCTCTGCCCCATTTAAAGAGCTTGCTCAAAACAAACAGGTGTTCTGGAAAATTCCATTCCGTTGAGAGTACAAAGCGATTTCTGGGAAAAACGAATCCCAGCAACTATAGGCTCCATTATAATAGCCAATACTTTTCACGCTTATACGGGCAATTATGCATGCAAAATCCATTAGCCTGTGCAAATGTGAAACGAAAACGATGCTTTGTGTCGAAATTGTTCCAAAGGACCTAATGTCTCACTTTTACTACTTTTACACTTTACAGTACTCGAATCGAAGCGATCCGACCCACATGGCTCAACATACTGTTCACTTGTGGATGTGCTTTCACACGACAAAAATGGAACCTGATCACCCATGACATCGTCACGGCCATTGTCGAGCCGAAGACCTCCTTTTTCGAAGAGAACTCCGTGAAAGTGGGTAGAACTATATTTTTCCATATATATTCCTTATAAATAAATACTAATATCATATAAATAAATATAAATAAATATTTTGGGCCTATTTTCACTTGTATGTTACTATGTTCTATAATTATCACTGTGTTGAATAGTTTAATTTGCAACAATTTTTCTTTCATTTTTTCCTTGTTTTGATTGTTAACTAGTGTTTTTGGCCAAGGTATGGTAAGTATACCATCAGAGGCTTAGTTAAAGGCATTCATCACAATGGTTGAGGGGTAGGGCTACTTCTGTGACGTCATTGAATGTCATTGGTGGAACGGCTTCAAGAGGGGATCGCAACAGGGTCAACCCTATGTTGCTACAAGTAGCAACGGGGGGTCGTATTTTGATGAGTTTAGAGGGGGGGGTCGTACTTGCTTCGGTTGTAAGAAGTTGCATGTGATGAGTGGGGAGCGGCGCGGGAGAAAATTTGCCGTTTCAGCGCGCGTATATATACCTCCTCCCTCCCCTCTCACCCGCTCGACGGTTAATTTTTTGGGGTAAAAGTTGTTTTGAAAGGGGGGGGGGTGTGGTCGTAAAGGAAACATTTAGTGAGGGGGGGGGGTCGTAAAATTTTAAAAGTAGCAACGATAGCACGGCCTGGTCGCAACCACACCCTCCGGCGCGCTGAGTGGTTAGTCACCAGGGAGATTCAACGACGTCACCACAACCATCGAAACTGCACCGTCCTTCAACCATCGAGATCACTGCCTTTACGGTGAAACAGTGGCCCGGTAGGATTAGTGGTAGTTTTAAGTTTAGTTATCCGGAAAACGAAAGAAATTGCTTTGAGTCCTACCTGGGCTGAAGGGTTTAGCCTATAACAGCATTCTTGTGTAAACGATTTTTATTATTATTTATTTTAAATATAAAAGTTTCACTTCAGTTATTCAAAACTTCAAAATAAATATAAACTAGGCCACACAAGACATAAAATTAGGCCAAATATATTCATTTTCCCTCGTATAAAATGAGGGTGGTGCAGGGGCAAATGGCGCCACTCACGATATAAAAGATCATGGACCAATTCCAACAAAGCCTTCAACATTCAAATATTATTACGTTTTTGAATAAACTTCGAGTACATGGCGTAATCTGAAAGAGATTGTCAACACCAAATGATTTTTCTTTTTCGTATCTCTCAAGAAATGTAAAGAATTGGTCAAGAAAGTTACCCATATTTTGCAGTCTCTGACGATTCCACGCGCTACAAGGGGGACTTTTAAAGTATACTATTTTTCAAGTTATTATATTAGATCCAGGAACGCGACTCATCGTAACAGCTCGGCTAACCCGTTTATCCTTTGATGTCTTAGAATAGCAGTGGACGACGTAACCTAACCACTAACAGTAGACGACCTACCCTAACCCCGTCCATACTTTTACCTAGCAATCATGCAAACGACCCCGGCCCAAGCAGCAGCAGACGCCAACTTCGCTGTTCGACCACTGCCAAAGGCGGCTAAGACCAGGCGAGAAGATTTATCGATGCAAGAAAATGATCGATGTAGGGAACAAGGAGACTTTGATGTCCAAATGCGACGAAAAGGGTGTCAAATCTGCCTTCTTCCCTTGCCGGAGGAAAACGCAAGATTTTCTCAGAGACGCTTCGAGAACTTAGGAAAAATTTCTATTCTGGCAAGTTTCGTCTTCACCAAAACGGCACCGCTTCTTTCGAGATAGCCAGAATGCGCCGTGCACTTCCTTCCACACGCAGATTAGCCAATCTGCTTTTATGATGCCTTCAAACCCAGCTTTTTGGCTTGAGCTTATCAGGCACCTAACCCTGTTAGGTGCTGATAAGCTCAAGCCAAAAAGCTTGTCCTCAACCCGCACCGAATTGATATTACCCGCACCGAATTAATGTCGGCGAGGGATTATTATCCGCTCACACAAAAGGTAACTTTTTGATGGTTTCAAAAATTTTTGAAGAATTTCAATTTTTATTTTTTATTGAATCTAATTTTTAGTCATCAAATTATTTAGGTTATTATTTTGTTATGATAATTAGCACATTACTTATTGAATTTTGACGATTCTCGAAACCCTCATACAAGGGCCTATGGCTATGGCCAAAAGCTAATCACAAAATGATTCATCAATAAAAAATCAAACCTGGTGGTCCACCAAGCAATAGCGCCCCTAGCCACTGCTTTAATCTGACAATAAATAGCTAATAGCTCTTCGTTTTCAGATGGAGTGGGTGATGAATAGTGAGAACGAGCTTCGCGTTATCGCCGTATCGTTTGGTTTGGCGCTAATGGTACGTGAAGCGTTCCCATCACTCATGCACATACTCAAGGAATTCCGTTCACGACGTGCAGTCGTATAACTTCGTATAATGTATGCTATACGAAGTTATTACGATAATGGTATATCAGCCCTCTGTGATTTTTGTGCATATCGATTTTTTGCTATGAAAGCAGGCAGTTGTCGGTTAGACCCTACGCGAAGGCGCTCAAGTACATCGTGGCGAGCCCCGAAAACTAAGTGGACCTATTTAAGCACCTCTTAGCGATAGAATGAGTGACCCGTGATGAATGTAGCGGCAAAGGTCGAACCCTCAACGGCTCTGTCAGACTTCATTGAAAATTATTTTACGAATGATAAAAATATAGTATGTGATGAAGCTCATGCTAAGGTAAGGTGAGGTGAGAGGGGGCAGGTGGGGGCGGGTAAGGTCTTAAGCCAGACGTAAAATACCTGCAAATGTTACGGCGATAGCCCAACCGTAATCATTTATATATTTATATTGATTTTTGACACTTTTGTCTTGCCAACCTTGCATTTCCGATTTCCGAAACTCTGTCACATTTTTATATCACAATTTCGCTGTTAAGCTTCCGACTCAAAACCCCCATACACCTCTTCTCCAGTGGCTTTTCACATATCATTGTATTACTTACCAATCTTTGTCATATGTGATTACAAAAGTAATAAATCACTTCTACTACTACTCTTTACCCAAAATATCTTCTTCACAAAACTTTACCTGCGAGTTCAAGTAACCCTTGAATTAGACTTCATGATCCTTATGTAGCCCTCACAGCGCCGAAACATAGACGTATTACCTCACTCATTTTTCGGCCCTAACGGGTCATCCAATTTCAACAATGAAAGCAGTCGAGGCTCATGGCTCATTTCTCGTGTCGCTATTGAAATAAGAACATTCAACCTCTAGAAAGAAACATTCTGAGTTTGACAAGAACAGATGCGTGCGGTTGCGAAGCAGCGCAAGTGTGTACACCCACCACGAAATGCTATCAAAAGATTCTGCTGCACGGTACTACCGCTCAATGAAATCAATTACTCCGCATTTAATCAAACTTTGGTTCAATGTCTCGGCCATATTTGTTTATGTCCCGGCTAAATTTCCAGTCATAGCAACTAAAACAAAAAAAAAACTTATGAGTGAGTTATGAAACTAACCTGCTGTAGGAATTGAGTAATTGATGACTTCATACTTGTGAAGGATTTTCGTTTTTCAACAGAAATGGCAATGCAACAGCAGAATCACTGAAAGATTATTGGAACTAATCAACATAAATAAAATCGAAACAAAAACAGCCCCAAATTTTGAGAAAAAAAGCGAATGCAGCGAGAATCAGACGCGTCACGTGGATTGTGAAGCGCATTCCAAACAATGCCGCGTGCCGTCGCAGCGCTGTTGGTCTCACCAACAATATTATTGTTTTAGATCATTTTTTCCTGTTTTTTTCATCTTTTTAGGAAAATGGTTTTGTCGCTGAGACACTAGGACGAAACCGTGAAAATGGATCAACGAAAGATTATTTTTCAAAGAGTGCCTGGAACTCCTACTGTGGAATAGGTTGAAATAGCCCAGTAACCGACAGGAGGCGACGCGCTGCGAGAAGGCAGAGACCAGAGAGAGTTCCAGCACGTGCAGTGTGATTGAGATGTACTATAGTACATTCTACTTACTTTGACGCGAAACCACTGCAAGAAAACGCTGCTATCGTTCGCCGACCTGTCTGCAATTCTGCCTTCTCGGCGCGCGACGGGCCTCCTGTCGGGTACCCGAAATGTGCACACAAGTAGAGTGAAGGGCGTGCCTGTTGGCGTAGCTGGTCGAAGGGCGCCATTATTGCCAGAATTTGATTGCGAATCGGATAGAAAACAAAAAGCCAAAATGGAGGTTACGAGAAAAAAACACGAAAAAGAGAAACGATTGGTAGATAGAAGTAGAAAGGAAAAAAGGGAGGAAAGCCGATTGATCGAAAACATGAAGTACTCAGAAACATATCTGGTATAGATTATTAACTTGCAAGGGAACTAAATAGACACAGCTTAGCAACACTTTACCACAAGGACGCCATTAGGTCGGTTTTTTACAAGCATAAATTTGCTAATTTCCATGGCAGAACAGTCATATTGCTGCTCATAGCAATGCCGTCCCGGAACCTAATGACCTCCATGACCAACGGCTCGATCCACAATATTTGTCCTATCAGAGATTGGTTTTTCCCAGTACATGCACGCTACATTCCTTCCGCTTAACCGTGCTCACTGGAAGAGATTACGCGGCGAAAGCTAGACCTAATGCGACCCCTCCCCCCCTAGGGGTTGTTACAGTCTCTTCAGAAAAAAAGGTTTTTTTTGGAAACATGGCAAGTCGGGTCTATGAAGACGTAATTGAATCTTAGATGTCGCTCAGCAGCGCAAGTGCAAACTCGCCGCTACTCTCTTCATCGCTGATTCTCGTTAACGGAATTTGTTGCGTAACAGAGCTCTGATTAGATGTCCGCTGACCATCTACATGATCGGTAAGAGATATCGCTACATGTGTTTACGTTTACTTGTTTACCATATGTTTACTCCCGAATAAAAGACATATTATTTCAATCGGTAACCAGCAAAAATCGTGCCTTGGGTATATGTCTGTGGAGCGGGAAAGTCCCTGAGCTAGGCCTTGTTCCTGGCTAAACGCCACGATTTACTAATTCCCTCATAATTCAGTAAAGGTGGCGTGCGCTGATAATTCTCGCTGAGTACATCCGTGTAGGAACTGAAGGGAAGTGGAGCGGAAAATGCGAGACAAGGACGTAATGAAGGCGCACGTTAAACTGCGATGCAGGCGGAAAGTAAAGCAATTAGGCAGGAAACGACGTTAAGAATTACAAAGAAAAGCCATTGACTCCGAAGACAGTGAAGTGGACAATTATGACGAAGTCCACTTACACTAATGAGACATCCTCAGAGAAAAAGAGCCGTCAGAAAGACGGGCGTGAAAACTCCGCGCCGAGAGAAATTTTAGAACCCTGGAGAAGAATTGTACCATTTTTCTGAGTACGTGAACAAAACCTTCGTATATGGGAGCTTCAGAGGACGGTGGGAGATGCTATAAGAAGGGCCCGGAGGGTCACCACAAGAAATAACTACTCATAAAAAACCAGAATTCACTGTGAGTCAAGATGAAAGTAGGCAACTCCAAAACCAAGAAATGGATTGTCCGGGACCTTTCCGCCGTTATGTTGCGACCTAGTTCTCAACGAGGAATCTGAAAGCTTTTTGAGACTGACTTTCAGCCCTCTGTCCTTCACTCTCTTCACGGAGGGTGATGTGAGACCGGCCCTGGATGACCTTCTGACCCAGAAAGAAAGTCATG